ACACGTTGCCGCCGTTCAGCCATTTGGGTGTCAACCCATACAGCCCGAGGTCTACGGATCCTTTGGGGCCTTCGGTACCGGATCCCACCCACACCCCCTTATATTTGGGTCAGAATTTTCAGCAGACTATAGCACCGAGCTACCCAAACGGGATGGCCCCCCACGTTATGGATATGGCTATCAACAATCTGCCTATAGCCAATCCGGCTACTTTTGGTGAAAACACACCTGAAGAAGTCGAGGTTATGGAACAGGAAACGTCGAGTCAAACTGCCGGCGGACGCTTGCCAAGTTTCGCGCAGCTCCAAACGCAGAGTTTCAGCGTTTATGTTTCTAACTACGTCACACAGCCTAACGTGGGGGGTCAAGCTGTTTCTGATGAGTCGACCGCTGGCTACATAATTGTAGACCCGGTCCACTCTCCATTACAGTACAACAATATGGACATTTGTGGGCAAAATATGGATTACGAATATAGCTTTTCACCTAGAGCGTCTAAAGAAAACTTGATTAATTACAATTCGGAAAACATTAAAGTATATCCATACGGATACGCGGTAGGAGGTAAAACTATAAAACGGGACGATAACATTCTACGTACCGATTCTAGCGAGCTTCAAATTTTAAAAATAGAAGATATTATGGATTATGCTAATAAAGAAAATTACGGTGCCCAAATGAAATCGCCTGCGAGTCCCGAAAGCGCAAAAGCTGAGAACGAGAGTCGCGGCTCTCCGTCTATAACGTCGACGGTTTCGAGCACACCTCTCGCTGAACGTAATCAGCTGAAGAAGTCTGGACCGGCCACGGTGCACAAGTGCTACGAATGTGATAAGTTCTTTAACAAGGCGTGCTATCTGACACAACACAATAAAACTTTTCACTCGGGCGCTAAGCCGTTTAAATGTGACCGGTGCGGCAAACGCTTCTCTGATGACGTGTCTTACGAGGGTCACTACTTGAAGCACGCGGACAATAAGCCTTTTAAATGCAATGAGTGTCCGAAGTCTTTTAACCACAAGACAGATTTGCGTCGACACATGTGTCTGCACTCCGGCTGTAAACCTTTCGCTTGCGACCATTGCGGTAAAGGATTTATTAGAAAAGATCACATGGTGAAACATGTTGATATTCATATTAAAAAGAATCTCAGGTCGTCCTCATCGTCGATATCGTCAACATCTTCATCGTCATCGTAAACATATCACACTGAAAAGTTTCGGTCAGATAAAATCATTAACTCGGAGTTGAAAATAGTATGCACATATCATTTTATGACCGATAGTAGATAATCGAATAATTGTTTATTATCATATACGACTAAATAAATTTACATTATTACATTGGTAGCTCGGTATTTTATTATGTATATGTTATTCTTATTAAGGCTCAACTCCAGCGCACGCATTCAGACCGCCGGTTCGCTTTTTTGTTGTTCATTCAATCTAACCTTGTGTTCGATGCAAGGTGACTTTATGTGTCTGGGTGTCTGGGCGCTAAACATATAATTACGTGACGTCGGAGTAAAATTCCGCGATATTGTTTAGAATGATCCATATCATTTTTATGTTTTAATAATTAATAGTGTATTGAAGCAAACAGCGGTCATGTTCCGTTTTAGGTCGTTACAGTAACTCGACCTTTACCATTCACTATGTTTTTTTTATTTACGCTTCGTAAATACTAGAAGAGTTTAATCTTAGGTAAATACTGTCTTTTTAGAATTGTTAATGTTAACGAGTGATGGGTGTATTTTAAAGTATACTTACCATTAGAGTAATTTATGTAAATAATTGAAATTTGGGACTTAACTGCCAGACATTATATTAAGTAATTACCATTCAAATATTGTTTATATTTATCTTTGCTACATCGATATTTTTACCGAAATATTTGTTTTATGTAGTTTAAACTGGATTTACAATGAAATTTAATTATACCTGTATTAAAGATCTTATTAAAAGACGTTACATGAAATTGACGATTATAATAATTTAGTACTGTCTTACGATGATTGTAAGTGATTGTGTCAAATAGGTTTGCCCAAAAAGTCGATAGAATATTTGTAGGGCAATTATTTGCCAACTGATTGGACAGCGATTGTGTTACATGGAGTATGTATAGGGACATGAAGCCGGGCGCGCCGGCGTCGGTTTCGACGACATTACAGCGTCCCGACGACCGCGCCCTCTAGGAAGTGTTATGTTTTTGTTCTAGATGTTAATCTTGTATTTGGTTATTACTTTATTAATATTTTCCCGGTGCTTCCTATTATTATTTTGTCTGTTGACATTTGTTTTAACTTTAAGATAGTTAGCTTCTTTGGGATTCTGAAAAAAAAATTTTTTTTTTCGGTAATTGAATAATTTATATCAAATTTCTTAGTTACCATTGCGTTATTTGACGAATTTAGTTATACATTCCTGTTTCGTTAGTGGTAGGAAAGTAGTCTTCCTGAACGTTGCCAAATTAGTTCCGCCAACTGTCTGTTGCGACACGATAAAACTTTAATTTTTAGGCTAAAGATAATAAAATTCTTTAGCAATAATTAAAAAAATAATGTAAATGTTTTTGTATAGTATTAATGAATTTAACATGATTTACGTAGGTATTAAAATCGTGTAGACATCGTTTTCAATGAACTTGTATATATTTTTATGAAAGGGTCGATGAGTTTGCTGTATGATGAACATATCACAAGTCTTAAAAGTGTTAAAGCTGCAAAATATTCCCGCCAGTTATATGTGATACCAGCAAAACTTTTTATGTAGTATTGTTTTATCCGCACTCATTACATTATCTGCGTAATCTCTCACATGTAACTCACGGGATATTTTGTTCCATTTTAATTTACAATAATCGATGTCCAAGTGCTGTGTTTGTATCGAAATTTATTCACTTCAAAATATATGTGCAATATGGACATTGTATTGATTTACTTTTTGATGATAGTTGTATTTTAATGTTGATTATATTGCAGAAATATTTTTATACAAATAGAATTACACTAACAATATTGATCTACCTCATCGGCGACTATATATATCACTTAATTAAATATACATAAAATTAAAGATATTTGAAAACAAGCAATAAATGTGGGCGAAAGTAAGAAAGTAACTTAGCCCCTCTTGTATTTTGAAATAAATATTAAATAGTTATTTAAAGGATATATATTGGTACAATCATTAAACAGCCTGTGATGTGGCGAAAACGTCAATATATCTTGCCGAATCATATCGTCTATATTTAATGTATACACATATCATATTATATACCTTCTCCTGTCCACATGTACAGAGCTGTTTAACCAATATCATATATATGTACTGGGAATTTAAATGACCTATTTAACAAGTTATAAAGTTAAATAAATATTACTATATTGTTGAGAAAATTTTTGTATAACAGAAATGTTTTCTTAATAGCAAATGTAATAGTGACAGAATATATTATGGAACTTAACTACCTCAAGTAACGAGTAATAGGACTAAAAAGTGTTGTGAGGGTGTGCCGCGGGGTGGCGCTGGCGCCGTTTCCATTACTGAAACTAAATACCTCAACTTGCCTTTCGTGTTTTAGTTAAAAATAAATTTCTATTTAGTGACGGCGCGCAGAGCTCCTCGGCCACCAGTATTCATATACAAATATTATAGTTGACATATTTGTCTCCTCATACTGTTGATTGCAAACACTTATGTAGTGGTATCAGTTAGATATTAAATATTGTAAATATAAAATAACGATGAATTTTGTTATTTATCATATTCTATTATTGTATTCATCGATAGACTTATTTTAAAATAAGTTTTAATGTAGTGATTTCAAGTTTATAACAATAGAATATAAGTATGGAGTAAGTATTTTGTGATTTTTACGTTCTTGTAAATTGTATTTTTAATTTAATTATCAGTTACCACATCATATCTGTTAAATTCAGTTGAGTAAATTTGAAACCGACAAATACGATTAGATGTTGTTTTCTTTATATTATACCCTCGTATATTAACGTTGTCCGCACTCTCTGCGGCAACGTATAAGTCGTTTTATTGTTTACTTTATTACATTTTCTAATATTTCTTTATGGTAAGCGTAGCGAAATTAATTAATTCTAGGCTTTACTTCGATGAAATGAACAGTTTCAGTGATAAGGTGTTATCAGAACTTGAAAGTTAACACTTAAGATTATGAAAAACATCTGGAAGGATTCTGTAACTTCGAAGTTTTGTCTAGAACCTTTAGAATAAGATTTGACTATAGTTTATCCTAGATCTAGGCGACAGATCTGTCACATCTAGGGCGAAATACTTTGAACTGCTTTGCGTTGATGTGTCCATGTGTTGCCGTTTCTCTTTACTTGTGAATTATATTACATAATTATACAAGTAGAGAGAGATTGGTAGTTTCATATTAAAACACATGAGCAAATCATACGATGCGAACATTTGGCAATGCGATTTTGTGTTACTTTATTTTTATTTGATAATTAAAATGTATGTTTCCAGTTTGTTAAAACTTTAATACAACTAATTGTGTTTTACTTATTTTATCTTCTTTGCGATAATTGTTATTATACAAATGATTTTGGAAATGTAAAACACAATTAACTGTATTAAATTTCAACGTTGACCATGCAATAACGATTGGCTCATTAGTATTGCTCGTTTCAGATCTGTCAGTTAATATATATTTAATGTGAAAAATTCTTGTTTCATTTCCCTACCCTAGCTGCTATTTGCGAGAGTATAGCTTAGCTATGATGAGTTATGAATGCTAGAAAAGTTTTATGATGATAACAGTCCTATATAATATAATTTTAAATTTCAGATACAGCGAAGAACACAAATAACAGTTCCTAAATTTAATTTATTATTACACTCTTTACGCGATTAGCAATAACTAGTACATTTCAAACACAATACAGCTACACAAACTGGAGTTGAAGATGAAAGAAAAAGAAGAAATATCTGGCTAAGTATAAATTTAGTAGATGTCCGTAAGAGTTAAAATTCCTATGAAGGTAGATTACGAATTTCGAAAATACAATGCTGCTCTTTGATATGAAGGCTTTTACGCCAATCCCCACAACTTAAGTAGCCACATTTGTAATTAAAAACTAAAAATTAACGATTAATAAAAAGTCTATTACAGAAAAAAACATGCATCAAAATATCGTACGCATTAAATAAAAGGTCTTCAATATTTACTTAGTTAGTATTTATACAATACGAACTGTATCAGTACGCTACGAGAAGTGTTCTTGCATCGTGTAAAAGACATCAACGAATATGCTGTACGGTATTCGATTTCTACAAAAAATATAAATACTCAAATACTGCATTAACTTCTTATATATAGGTCTTGGATATTTCCACAAGTAAATGAACTCAACTGGTATAAAAAAATTATTAAAGCGTAATTTGAAACGTACATTTAGATAAAGATTTTTAGACCTAGAAAGAGATGTATGGATTGCGTGAAAGTGACATGATCAAAAAGGGAGTGATGACTAAGATGACGTATGATAGAGTTATTTGGGGGACAAAAACCTGTTGTGCCGACCTTACGGGAGTAGGATAAGGAGGATTATGATGATGATTTTTGTCCTTACGCTTAGATGTTAAGTATCGAGATTTATATGCGTACTATAGATCGTGTAGACTAAATATTACATTCTTATAGATTCTTACACATAAATAAATTGAATCCTGAGGTCAAGTGATGCTGCCGATCACCAACAATCAGACGACATATGAATAATTTATTGAAATAGAAAGGAAAAGTAATAAGCAAGATGCGTGATTTAAGGCAAGCACAAAAATATACTGAGCTTTAAAATTTTGTCAGCTAAAAATGTACATGAAAATTTTAACTAATTATAAGATTAGCTATAAGTCAAAGATGCTGCGGCGCCATCGAACAAGCGAAGCATGTAGAAGACCGCTATTGGAACCAAAACTTGTTTGTGCAAAATGGTAATGTATCTTAAAATAAATAAAAATGGTAAAGTATGCTTAACCCCGAAAAACATATAATGACATCAAAATTACATTTAAGTCAATCGGTATTATGATGAAATATTTAAACAACAGAAAAGGAGTAGAGAGAGAGAGAGAGAGAGTTTAAGGGATCTTAAATGATAAAACTCGATAAGGTCTTAGAGATATTGTCTATCAAGGATATAAACGATACAACTGAGTTCCGATTACTATACCAATTGAAACCCTTAAAAATTCTGGTTCCGTCCCTTGATATTGGTGCCTAAAACTGTGTCATCGGTCAACATATGTACAAAATACTACACAATTATTTATAAGTATATATATAATAAGTAATTACGCAGCCACACCATCTCATGAAATAAAATCCATTCAAATTGATGTTTCATGGTTGTTGCCACTGTGTTTCTAAACTACCGGTCAAGCTTTCATGTAATATTAGTCATGAGGAAGAAAAAAAATATTCCGTAAGAATCCAGAAAACCAAACGTCTTTAAAGTAATACAAGTGTTTCTATCATAACCACCATCTCACTGAGGGGCTCGGACCCTACTCTAAGATAGGGGTAACAAGGCCATAGTCGCGCTGGCACATTGCGTATTCGTAGACTTCATACATATAATATATCTTTAAATTTCTTCGGCACCACAATGTTTTCCTTCACCGTAAGAAAGTCGGATAAATTACATACAACATTCGAAAATTTAATTAGTATAAGACGGGTTTTAAAACTCAAGGCCTGTAGATTACAAAGTCACGTGCTTAAACTCCTGAGTTATCCTCGGTTAAATATGTACCCGCTGTTAGGGTAGGTACACACTGGGCATTGGGCGCTGCGTTAATCGGGCGGTGGAAGCGTTCACACACCGCGTGTAGAATGGCGTTCGATGAACGTCAGTAAAACAGGCAGTTTTGACTCAAATCGAAAATTGAATTTTGATAAATGGGCCACTTCCAGTTTCATAAAAGAAAATACAATACAAAAACGGTAAACTAATACAAGAGTATTATTTAATTTACTTATTATACAATTGTGACGAAAAACTACCTATCAAAAATTTCAATACAAGTTTCATACGAAACGAACAAGACTGTACGTAAGTATAGACGTAGTTAGTGTTTAGGATGCTGGTTTGAAAGCGAACGCGATCGAAACCAAGCTCGGATAACAGCGAGGATCGCTCGGCCGCGGCGCGACGACCTACACCGGTTTCGCTTTCGTCCGAAGGTCAACACTGAATCAGAACGGACGCGTGCCGTACTTCGCGGCGATGTAATGCGCTTATCGACATCGACACATTTCAAACATATCGATACAACTTGGATTCTATATCTTTAATGCATTAAAATGTGTTCAAAATAATAAATGTATGTTTAACTATTTTAAAATTACAGATAACGATCGATTTTCTATACAGCAATAAAATCAAAAGGAGATAAAAAAACAAGGGATTATCTTTAGCTGAACACCGCTATTGTAATAAGATTAATTATTTAGTTTAATTAATTAAAAATGGGAATGTGCCCTGGGGTAAGGTTTATCAGACGAAACAAGTTGGACTCTTCTCGAATTACGTTTGAAAGTGTGACTTCCCCGGTTCCCCCGATATTCTTAAAGACAAATAATGTGCACTTTATCCAAAGCACGCTTACATTAACGAAGGGTTAATAATGATTTATTTGATATTGTCTTACAGGGTTTTATTTTCAGTATTACATTTAGAAATAATGTTATTCATTTTATACTAGCCTTCGCCTGTAATTCCATCCGCGATAAATTAAAAAAAAACAACAGTGTTATATATGTTTTTCCAGACCATCCTCTACAATTATACCAACTTTCATCAATGTTCTTTGATCAGTTTCGGCTACAAACTGTAACAAGTATACATATATACATCCATACATCAATCATAGTATTAGATTATTTACCTCATGAATGTTTTCCATAAAGAATTTTAGTTAAATGTATGCGTTCAATTTTAACTAAATGTGATCACAGTGGTGTTCTTATTTATCGATAACTCAGCCTCCAAAAGTGTATATGTAATTTATTTGGAATTTAATTGATTTCCGGTCTCACAGTTCTCAAAGGCTGGTAAAATAAATAATGTACTCGGATGATAGGTGGCGGTTTCTTTGTGGTCAGGTTAACTGGAAAAAAGCCTACGCTATAGAGGCGATTATTTAGAATACAAAAGAACTTGCCAATAAAAAAAACTGGTAATAATTTCATACATATTAAGCTACGTGATTGGTTATTTTAATTTTAATTTTATTTAAGGCAACAATTTTGAAAGCAGGATAAATACACAATAAATACAATCAAACCAAATACGTTGACCTCAAAAGAGTCTCAAAAGTTTTAAAATTGCTTTGTAAGTGAATTATCTCATATACTTATTTGTTCGAGATTAATTTGCATTAAATACAAAAAGTACATCAGTCGAGCATTTTAACGAATACTTAACAACTTAGGTATAGAATTTTAAATATTCACGGTCACATAAAATAACAAATTAAAGTATTAATTTAACTGAACTAAGGTTTCGTTTCAAAATACATTTTATCAATAACTAGCTTTCGCCCGCCAATCCTTCCGCATTGAACTAAAAAAAAAGAAAAAAAAATAGCCTGTGTGTGCTTCGAGACTATGCTCGACATTTATGGAAAATTTCATTAAGATCCGTGCAGCCGTTTAGGCCACAAACTCTAACAAACATCCATCCATCTAAACTTTCGCATTTATGTTATTAGTAAGAATTAGTAAAATATAATGCTTGCTTAATCATATACAACTTTAGTTAATCAGAGCAACCCTGAAGACTCCTAGAATTCTTTGTAAACAAAGCAAGTGATTGTTTAAATTTAAAGTTTATAGTATGTTTATAATACTATAAATACATCTAATTACTTAAAACATGTTTGTAAAACGTGTATCATAAATATTTAGCGCATAAGTTATATGTCGGT